CCTTTCCTCCCAGCAGAGCTGCTCCATCCCTCTGATCATCATCTTGGTGCCTCCTCTGGACTCTCTCCAGCAGCTCCATGTCCTTCTTGGGCTGGGATCCCAGAGCTGGAGGCAGCACTCAAATTATTAACAAAGATAATTGAACTGGAGGCTCTTCCAGAACAAGTAGAGCCAGAATCTGTAACCCAACAAGCCAAAATCTAGATTTAAAAAGCAGGACTGAGCCATCTAAAGGACAGGAATCGAGGACATTCCATGATCTGACACACCCAGGAAGGACACGCTCCTCATTCTGGTTAAAAACAAGCAAGAAAAGGGACATTCTAAAAGAGCTTTTGGGACATGAGCAGAGCAGGGACCCCCTTTGGGACTGCAGGAGGCTCAGGGCACTCACCAGTCGTCGCCCACGTTGAAGGCATTGAGGCTCTTGGTGAAGCCCTGCATGTTGTTGGGACTCACTCTCTGCAGGAAGTCGATGTAATCCTCGGAGTGGAAGCGGCACATGTCGTGCTGGGACGCCTGGTATGGCTTGAAAACCTTCCAGACACAAAGACAACACTTATTTCCCAGCTAAAGTCGTGTTTGTTTGGGCTGGAAGAAACCTCCAGCCCAGTGACCTGCACGAGGTACATTAAAAGCATTCCAACACTGGCTTCCTGGTATTTGTGTTCTTTTAAATTCATCAGTTGTTCCATGAAACTTTTTCCTGCCCTCTTTCAGCCACAAACCCATCTCCAGCCTCTCCTGACTGCAGCTGTTGCTACAAACTCTCCAATGCCCCCCCTCCTTGGGAAGGAGCAAAACAAATGGGCCAAGGCCAAACCACAGCTTTTCCTTCACTGGGGGGTTTATTCCCTCTTCAGTCACCAGCTTTCCACTATTTTAAGACCTTGATCTAGGGGGTGGTTTCAGTCCCTCTGGCAGATCTGCCTGGAATGGGCTGATAGGTCCAAAATTGTTTGGTGAAAGCTCCCGAACAGATGGAAGAATTGTGTAAGTCCTGTTTCCTTTGGAAAGGAAAATGGTGAAAAATGGTCATGGAGCTGGATGGACTCAAATTCAGGATCTTGTGACAACTCAGCCTCGCCAGTTTGGCACTGAGGGCACATACCTCAGTAGAGGGGAGGTTAAAAATTAACACCATGAACTTGGGAGAGCAAATTAAATCGATAAGAGATCTTTTTGGTGTCTCCCAAATTCTCTTATTTAAAGCAACCACTTCACAGGAAAAATGGGACATGGAAATAAAAGCAAGATGCACAAGCTGGTCTCCAAAGGGAAATTTATCACTGCACCAATGATCCTGTTTCCTGTTCGTTTTTGGAGCCACAATACACCCAGACAAGCCCATCCTCTCCTCTCCTGGTGTTTTCCACAAGGATGTGGAGTTTGTTGTTTGCATTCCCCAGGAGGGCTCCAGGAATCCAGAAAGTCCCTGAAATCAAACAAGACCAAACCCAAAGCTAAAGAGTCACCACAGAGAAGGAATGGCTCTCACTGGATATCCAGAGGTTCTCTTGGACAACAAAAAGTAGGGAGAGGCGATTCAAACAGAAAGGCAGGGAAAAAAAATAGACCAAAATCTACCAAAAAATAGACCTAAACCTGCCTCCTTCCACCTTTCACCCAGTCCCAGCAATCCCACCCACCTTCCCAAGCTGGGAAAGGTGGGAAGAGGCAAACCCAGCCTGACAGGATAGCAGCCTTTTATTTGGGGGAGGCAGAGAGAGCAGATGGTGCAAGCACAACACAAAAAGTTAACAGGGCTTTTTATAATCCCAGCTGACCACAATTCCTGCTTTTATGTGTTCCCAACTTTGCCAGTCACTGACTGTTCAGGATGAAGCTGCCTCTGAGGTTTTCAGGTGGAAAATGTAAATCCCAGAAAAAGAGTTTCAAGACTTAAAATGTGGCAAAATGTAGAGCTCTGCCCACTGCCTCCCTCAGACATGGACTTGACCTTTAAAAGTGTTATGTCTGAACATGGATTTGTTTTATTTTTTTGCTGTTCCTGCAAGGAAAAGCCCAACTCCAGGGAAGATATTTGTGGAAGTTCACACATTGACAGGAAAAATCTGAAAGGGAAAATCTGCAAAGGCTCCCCAAGTGCTGCAACTCCACCCAGGGCAGTGGTCACCACACTGGATGTGGTTTCACCAGGGAATTATATTAATTAGGAAAGGTTTTCTCATGTTTAAACATGCCCAATTCATTTCATACATTGCATCCCTACAGCTCCCTGACAGGAGGGTGGAACCAGGTGGGGGTGGTGACAGGGTGAGAGGAAACGGCCTCCAGTTGCACCAGGGGAGGTTTAGGTTGGATATTGGGAAAATTTCTTCACTGAAAGGGTGCTCAGGCCCTGGCACAGCTGCCCAGGGAGGTGGTAGAGTCATCCTGGAGGGATTTAAAAGCCATGTGGATGTGGCACTTGGGGACATGGGTTAGTGGTGGCCTTGGCAGTGTTGGGACAATGGCTGGACTTGATCTTAGAGGGCTTTTCCAATCTTACTGATCCTATGATCAAGGAACTGGTCCATTTTAGCACCTTCCTTTAAAACTTGACACTGGGCTTTGGCTTTGGGACAGCTGATTTGTTGTCTCCTTTCACTGAGCCCACAACTCTCAGCACAGAGCAGGTCCAGCAGTGGAAGAGCTTGAACTTGAGCCCATTCCAAACTCCAGGCACTTGTACAAAGCTGGAGACAACAACTGAGTTCTGCAGCTGCAGGTTCAGAGCAGCTCAGACCCAGCTTTTCCCTCTGCCCCTCTTGTATTGGTTTGGCTGAGCAGACTTTGGCCTAAGAAATAAAAAGCAGGAAGATTATACTGCACACACACCCCTACAGGATTTGGGCACCTTGTCCTGCCCAGACACTGACCACATGGAGTCATGGAATCACAGAATGCTCTGGGTTGGAAAAGTTTAGGATCATCTCATTCCACCCCCTGCCATGGGCAGGGACACCTTCCACCATCCCAGGTTGCTCCAGGCCCTGTCCAACCTGGCCTTGGACACTTCCAGGGATGGGACACAAAGGGGAAGGAGGGGGAATGTCCTACATCCCTGACAGATCAGAGCACTGATGGTTTGAGCCCTTCCTCTTCCTCCCCTCCCTGTGTGCCAGCTCTGCACAGTGATGGCTCTGACAGGGGCTCCTCAGCTCTTTGACAGGGCAATTCCCATGGAAACACACTGTACATGTGCATCCCATACAGGGACAGCCAGGCAATGAAAACCCAGAGGTGCCTGGAGCTGTAGCCTCCTACATTTACATCACCATTCCAGGCACAGGTCCTTCCCCAGGGCAAAGGGATCACAGGCTGTGGATCAGATAAGCTGACCTGGGACCGTGCCAGGCAGGAATTAAATCAGTTCAAAGCTCTGATCCCAGCCCACTGAAAACAGGAATCAGGAACAGAAGATAAAACAAGTTGCCCCTAACCCATCAGCAGCTGCTGGTGGCACATTCTGCACCTCAGAATGGGAAAAACCCACCTCAGAATGGGAAAAA